TAGTTCGATGTCTACAAGGATGATCAAAATAGGTATTGGTAGCAAACAGTTTGTTTAAGCACATGAAGTTTAATAAATGTTCACCGTTGAAATTCCTTGTACCCATTCCAAACTTGCCCATATACTCTGTTACACCATACTGATAGTCCAAAGGAGATAAGGTTCCCAACTTACTGTTGAGATCACCACAAACAAACAATTCATGAGATGCAGGAACTGAAATAGCATGGGTGAGTTCTCTGTAGAACTTTCTAAGAAGGGCAGGGTTTCCTTCTGCTTTAGGATTAGTCGGGCCATAACCGTTAACAATTCTGATATTTTTAGGATGGGATGAGAGATTAGAAGGAATGACGACATTAAGATAGGAAACCCGGTCTGAGGTATACTGATAGTCTGTGACATAAGGTAGTAATCTAGGACTTATGATGAAACCTAGTCCACCATGTCGTCCTTGATTTTGCTCCATCATGATCAATTTGTAATTGTTTCTGAGATATCTAGTGGAATGATTTTTGACTTTTGTCTCTTGAACGCACAAGATATCAACACTATATTCAAAACAATCCGTTCCGAGTTCTTCCTGTTTCTCCGTCTTAGAGAGCCCTTTTGCATTCAGTGATGCTAGGCTCAGTAAGGAAGTAGAAGAAAACTTTGAACTCATAACTGTCTCTTTCTGCTTTAACGTCTGCTTCGTCACACCAGTTTTCGCTGATGCTTGTGTCACGCGTCACCGTGTCATACCACCATAAACTTACAGTGAGGATCAATATATTTGTCGGTAACGATTTAATTACTAAGAGTAACTTATTAGAGGCAAATTTTTTATTAAAAAACATACGACATTATGCCACTGGCTATCTTGTTATATCATGCTGCACCAAAGTGGGCGTATTCTTCCAAAGACGAAGTAAAATTGTAAAAAAAGGATCCCTATCATCTGACTTTCCTAATGAACATGGTCTATAATAACCGTTATAACTGATAATAATAATTAATATGTTTGATGGGGTGGCTGATGAGGGAGATTAGTTTCAGAGGAACTATATAGTTATTATTACTACATTTATAGTTATTATTACTACAGACGTTGGGATAGTGCCTTTACTAAAGACTTGACCTAATGGAAGTCACGAGAAGGTCTCTATATATATTATTATATAATCTGTCAGAAGAATTCAGTTTGTATTTGCGTGTACGTGTCTTTCTGGGGTTAATAGTTGGGAATTTGGTAATCTAGCTAGGCACACTTCGGGCTCAAAATTGAAATTCCTCGGGCGCACTTGGGGCAAAAAGTTACTTGGGGCATAGTTGGGGCAAATACAGTTGGGACACAGCTGGGGCACACTTGCTCACTTGGGGCACACTTGGGGACACGAAAGAAATTTTTCAACTCTTAGTTCAAAATTTGAAAAGTTGAACGTCAGGTGCTGAGAAAATAATCTCCTGCACAGCACAATTCTAGGAGTGAGGTGAGAAACTAAGCGAGCTAATTTTCCGAGCTTCGACTTAAAAAATCGTAATCGACAATTTGCTCTCGTTTTTGACGTAATTATTGTATCTGAAAATCATGTCTTTAGCCACAAAAGTACCATTGCCGAAGCATTAGAGCTGGGGCTTATTTTCCAAGAAACGTTCATGCAGATGAAAATTGTTCCCAATTTTTAACTTATGATTACTTTTAGATTTTTTGAAAAATAGATGATCATGATCGTAAGTTATATGAAGAAGCCACTACTATAGTATCACGAAATAAATAAGAAGCGGGCACTACATTCCTCACCATCTCGGTCCTGCTTATAATTCCAGCAACAGAAGATAAATTCACCACTCAAAGAGCACCAATATTACTTCAAGATGTCATTATTTCAATTGTAAAGGTCTCTTTCCAATATTCCATTATACTAATATGGATATACGTTCCAGGTCCGACCTATCTTGCGCTTAACCACACTGTTATGATATCTGATGTCAATTAATTAGATAATTTTAGGACTTATTGCCCCCATTTTGCTAGCTTCAGTGCGTCTCCTAATAATCTTACCAGCATGTCATGTAATTATAAACCCCTCCGGGTCATAATAAGATTCTGATAATCCCGGCTCCCGCTGTTAGTTTTTTCCCGCTGAATAAATAACCCCGGCACAGCTTTTATAATCCCGCCCCGGTAATTTGGCTCAACTAGATTTGTTTTGTTTTGATATTTCGTGAGAATTTCAACCGCGCACTGTCACGTGTTTTGATGACGTGTATCACGTGACTAACTACTAGGACGCGCATTGGTAAAAAATGTCACGTGACCTATGGCCTAACGTAAGAACTATTTAATACACTTGATCTACGTATCGGTCTAATTGCAGGCGCTGGCAAAACTCCAGCACACTGCTTACATTACTTAAACTCTTATACATTAATTGGACCAGTTCCAGAACTTGTCTCGACAGTTACATTTGATTTTGTCCGGTTAATTTTGTCGTGTTTGTTATAATTATAAGCCATGTATTATATTATACATAGTCGTCTACTTTGCTGGACTTCATGACACGATATCATTATTAGCTCCACCTTTTATCGCTTGCCAGGCTTAACTCGACGCCCCTTATCGATATTCATATTCATTCAACGTTCTTGACATACGTTGCATGCCACTTTTCGCGCGCGAAGCGCGCGCCGCCGAAGGCGAAACATGTATCAACAACGTTCTGACTGAGGAATAATGTTTAGATATAACGCCAATTTCAAATGTCATAGTACCTTAGTTGTATTAATTTGGTAGTCCCCAATTCCATTTCATATTTTCCATACTGATCTCATATAGCTAGAATTAAGAGTGAAATGTCAAATTGCTGGTCTTAGCACTAACCCGGAGGGGTTTATAACACATAACACCGGCACGCTTAAGTTATATTAAAATAACCCCTCGTGCTAAAGCACGTCGGGGTTATTTTCATAATAATCCCTCGTGCTTCGCACTCGAAATTATTATAAATTTTTCCCGCGCGTCGCGGGAAAAATTGAAATATAATCCCTGCGCTTGCCGGGGTTATGTGTGTTATACTGTTCAGGGAATCAGGCGGTCTCTAATTCAGTAGTCTCAGTACAGGCTGATTGCTCAGGTTTATCTGGACACGTGACACTTGACAGCTCTATTGTGTGGAGCTGGTGTTTTTATTTAACTGGTGTTAAGTATCTGGTAATTGTTTGTTCTTGTCAAACTTGAACACTTGTTCACTTGTACAGGCTAGTGCCTTTATCATCTCGTAAAATTTCTATTTTAGCCTGAGCTAGTCAGAAATCAGAAAGTTTCATTGTTTTGACGTTTTGGTCGTCAGGTGAGATCGCACCTGTGTTCAATCTTTAAACAATGTGAACTATCCAAATAAAATTCTGGAAAAAAACGGCAGTTGGGCTGCTACATCATTCAGTTCGTTGATTTATTCAGCAGTGTTGTGGAATGTTAACATGAGGATATAGTCATTAGTTATTTCTTAAGAAACTTTTATTAAGTTTTGTAATTTGTATTAGAAATATTTCGCACTCATCGTTATTTTCCCGTGAGCATTAACTGTTTATTCCTAGATAGACCAGATTAACGATGCAGTATGAATACGACCATCTCAAACCACAGCTCATGTTTTTTGGGACAGTAGAAACTGTAAGTATTCTAGTTGGAGGAGTAGTGAACCTACTGCTACTGACATTCCACACGAAACAACCAAACAAGACCACCACAGTGCTTCTCTACTGCCTCATGAACGGAACTGATCTTCTCATTTGTTTTCTCATGATTCCAGCTGTTATATCTTGCTGGTCTGGTTCTCAACCTCTTCTCTTTAAAACCAGGCTAGCCCGGGAAATCTGGCTCTTTATCTGGGAAGTTTCTGGAAGAACTTCAGTTTTTCTGATAGGACTTCAAAGTGTACTCAGAACAAGGGCCCTACTCTTCCCTTTCTCAAGACGACTCAATATAAAGGCCCTAGCTTCCATAATATTCGTCTACACGACCATTTTATGCGGTATCCAAAGTGTTCGTTTCTTCTACCAGGTTTACAGTGTTTTCAGTCCTAGAACCACCCGACCCACTCTGATTTTCACATGGGTCCAAACAGCGATGGGTCCTAGGAATGTTGGCACGAATATTTTCATGTTTCTGAACAACCTGTTCGGTTACGTTATACCGTTCCTACCTATCATGGTATCATGCGGTATCTCAATATATTGTATCAGGAAGTCCAGTAGAGCTACCCAGAGACGCCAACTTAACAACAACAACCCCCCTCCAGATAAACCTGCTTCTCATACCCTCCAACATAGAACAGCCACTACAACAGTTCTCATCCTTACTCTCGTCTACATCCTTACTAACGCTCCTTTGTTCGTTATGGAGCTGAACGAGATGCTTTTAGCAGTTTCTATCAGTCTCAATAAAGACATACGCTTCATAAACTGGGCAATGTTTATCGAGAAGGGACATTACCTGGAGTACGTGTTTATATATGTAACAGTATACAATGTAGCAATGTGTGTGTGCTGCTCAATTCTACCCTCAATGGTTTGGTGTTCCTCAAAAGAACAGCCCTAATCCGGGACTACATAGCTCTCACATTCCAGCAGTTAGTTAGAAGGTTGCAGTGTAAGAAGGGGAGCAGCAATGTGGTTCTTGCTAATAGGTCTGTAGGTGTAGCTGTTACTGAGCTGTCCAGAACAGAGACTGTAGGTGTAGCGGGGACTGAGCTGTCCAGAACAGAGACTGTCATGTGAGACAGGGAGATCTGAGTTTACTGAGTTTCTAAAACAGGGATAACTGAGCTGATTGACTGTCACGTGACTTAGTAAGGCTAATCTATCGGAAGATGACTCCAGATATCCTTTCTACTCCGATTGCAACAGTTTTATCGATTCTGTCCCAGCATAAATTTCCAGAAACTAAAAACAAAGGTAACAAAGCTATACTATAACTATACTAAACAAAGGTAACACTAACTAACTAAAACTATACTAACCGATCCTGACGTTCTCTCTGTTAACAGCCGCCTCCTCACGACTCACATTCTGCTTAGTTTGGTCAACAGACACTTTCTCCTGCTCCAACTTAATCATCAGCTGCTGTGTCAACTGGGGAAGGGAACATGTCAGCTTGGATACCCTGTGATTAATAAATAAACAGTCTGCAAGCGAAGAAGTTCCTTTCAGTACACACTACGTCATGTATTAGTACCTTAGCTTTGTGTTCAAGTTGTGGTTCCAAAGCGATGAGCTCTTCAGACATTCTCTCAATCATACTGCTGGACATGTTCAGCGCTTTTATTCCGTTCACTAACCGCTGTCTGAATGAGTCTTTTGATTATTTTAATTTTAGTTCAACCTTCGTTTAACATTTAAGATTCAGATGGTCTTGTTTTGAAATTATAATCTTTAAAAAATGATTACTCAAATTGAAAATAATAATATCTTTATTACTATTAGCTGAGTCCGTTATGTAACTTTATAACGGACTTGTTTTAGACTTGATTTTTATAGTTGCAAATCCATTGACGATGCTGTAGTAAAAAAAAGAAACATAGTAAATATGATAAATTTACCTTGACACAGTGAGGGTTTTGTTTTGTCTCTTGACCTGGTTACCTGGTTACCTGGTTACCTGGTTACCTGGTTACCCCACGTAATGATTAATTTACCTTGACACAGTGAGGGTTTTGTTTTGTCTCTTGAGCATGGTTACAAAGTGCTGGAGAAGTTCAAGGTAAGAAGATGGCGTGATGTGGAAGTGACGGTTAGCTTTCAGTTTGTACCTGGGTTAAAGTGACGGTTAGCTTTCAGTTTGTACCTGGGTTAAACTGTTAAAGTGACGGTTAGCTTTCAGTTTGTACCTGGGTTAAAGTGACGGTTAGGTTTCAGTTTGTACCTGGGTTAAAGTGACGGTTAGCTTTCAGTTTGTACCTGGGTTAAAGTGACGGTTAGCTTTCAGTTTGTACCTGGGTTAAAGTGACGGTTAGCTTTCAGTTTGTACCTGGGTTAAAGTGACGGTTAGCTTTCAGTTTGTACCTGGGTTAAAGTGACGGTTAGCTTTCAGTTTGTACCTGGGTTAAAGTGACGGTTAGCTTTCAGTTTGTACCTGGGTTAAAGTGACGGTTAGCTTTCAGTTTGTACCTGGGTTAAAGTGACGGTTAGCTTTCAGTTTGTACCTGGGTTTAAGTGATATTTATCAAATAAATATCCTTAAAAAATTTTAAAATAAAAAACATTTAAAAAAAATTTAAAAAAAAAGAAAATTTATCCTGATCAAAGTGATATTAATTAAATCCATTAAAGAACTATTCTGATTTTAAATTCCCCAATGATTAAATAAATCGATTATAGACGTAAAACATAATATTAATGATTCTTACTCGTCGATGATTTTCTGCACGAACATGTGTATCTGTACACAAACAGGGGCTAGCTTCTCTTTTATAGCCTGACAAGAGAATCAACAATAGTGTCATTGAGTTTAAGAATATATTTTTATATTGCGTAATTAATTCTTTAATAACTCCAGCCTTCATACCTGGGCTGGAAACTGTGCTGCTCCGAGAGTGTGATGCTTAAAGAAAACCACAAAACAGAAAACATCACATATAAAACAGGAAAGTAAGCTTAACACGTGGACAGACAATAGTGACGTCAACTTGACGACACTGAGTGACAAGAATATGTGACCAGGTGAAGAACAGGAAACCACTGGAATGGGAACACAACAGACCTTAAACTGGTCCCTTTCCTCTTCAGTCAAATGACCGTACGCTCGGGCTAGGGCTGGGTTTAATACTTCACCTTTCTGTAAATTTACTATAAACCAATTCCAAGTCTTTAATTAGAAAGTTATGGCACAAATTCCGAATTTAAAGACCCTGAACTGTGAAATAATAATATTGAAAGTAAGACCCTTCTCTACACCAACTTTACACGTGATGCCCATATAAGGAGTGGGGTGCTCTACTCTACACCTACCGAGCTAGTAGCAACAGATTTGGTGTTGGCGATGATCTTGTCGAGTTGGTTGTGTTTGAAGAAAGTGTTGGCTACAGCCAGAAGCGCTGCCTCCGGCCACTCGCTGTAGAAATCAATGAAACAGTTGGAGAGGATTGCGGGGTGCATTCTGCAGTACCTCTTGAAGTTGGTACCGGTGGGGGAAATACTGATCACTATGTGCAAGCACTGGTAGATGTTCTGAAAATGGGTTTTAGTTTAGATCACGTGCGTTCTATATTGTACACGTGTTGTTCCGCATCCTAAACATTCCGTCGGTTATTTAATCCCCACCATGACCATATGTTAGAAATCATGAAAATGATTGATGAGTAGATATTTGAAATATTTGACCATCTTACACCCACATTTTTGATTAATTCTGTAACTGAGAATTCAAAATAATGTGCTGACCGTGATAAAGCTGGACCAGATGTGAGTATTGTTTGCATTCTCGTGCACCGTGTCTTGTCGGTTCTTCATAGCGCTCACGATGTACTCCTTCTCTTCGTTGTCAAACCAGTGCTGTATCTGCCCTCCCCCCATTAACTCTCTATATCGCACATAAACTCGTCCTACATAAAGTTAAATCTAAACATTTCACATTTAACCTTTCGTTTTCCTTGCCAACGTGAAATACAGACAAATTGAACGAATACTCTTTTTCTATGAAGAACAGTCTTGTTTTGACAACCAGTTAAAGTGTTTGAACTATACGCTACTATACCTGTAAAATATGTAGCTCGCTAATAAAGAGGGTGCACATTTTCTTCTGAGAGCCACACTTCAGTAGAATAGCCTTGAGATCGTCTCTCAAATCAAACAGAGTGTAGTTTCTTCTGATGTTGAGTTCATGATAAGCTGAGCCAGCTATAAAGGTAGCTAGTCTTGCGGAGGAGGAACGACCTGTTCCACCTACTCCTAGCTGGGATAATGTGGTAGGTAAATACTATGATGATTAGGATTATATAAAATTTAACCTTTTTTAATTATAATTTATCAAATCGTCCAGTTTAAAAAAACTCGCTCTTTTAAATCATCTGAAGAAAGAATTAGGCTCATTTTGATTGCTGAGTTTGAGTAATCCATATATTTATTAGCCTTCAGCCAAATCTTTTAAATTCAGGCCAATTAGGCTTCAAGGAGCCATTGCTTCAATACTCAGTAGTACTCCTCCTTTCAGCGAAAAATCGCGAATATTTCCGTTTTTAACGTAAGATCGTGAAATTCCTTTACCATTTACATTACGCGAAATTTAAAGATCAAATTCAGTGCGCGTTAAGGTACATAGGGGGGGGGGGGGGGGGGGGGGGGGGGGTGTCATGTCCGTCTATGTCCGCCTATGTCCTGTCCTTTTTGGATTCTATGAGACAACGGACGTGTTTTTTGGGACATTGGCGGACACGGACGGACATTGGCGGACTCGGACGGACATTGGCGGACTCGGACGGACATTGGCGGACTCGGACGGACATTGGCGGACCCGGACGGACATTGGCGGACTTGGATGGACATTGGTGGACATTAGCGGACATTGGTGGACATTAGCGGACAAACATTTTGAGGACTGAAGAGTACTGAAGAGTACTGAAGAGTACTGAGGAGGATGGCTGAGAAGGATGGCTGAGGAGGATGGCTGAGGAGGATGACTGAGAGGGAGGAGGAGGAGGCAGAGGAGGAAGAGGACTGAGGAGGAGGAGGAGAAGGACTGAGGAGAAGGAGGACCCAGGAGGAGGAGGACCCAGGAGGAGGAGGACCCAGGAGGAGGAGGACCCAGGAGGAGGACCCAGGAAAAGGCCCCAGGAGGAGGAGGAGGACTGGGGAGGAGGAGAACTGTTGAGGACTGATGAGGAGGACTGAGGACGAGGAGGAAGAGTAGGAGGAGGACTGAGGAGGGGAGGAGGAAGAGGACTGGGGAGGATCAGGAAGACCCAGGAGGAGGAGGAGGAGGAGGACCCAGGAGGAGAAGGAGGACTGAGGAGGAGGACTGACGATGACTGAGAAGGAGGAGGACTGAGGAGTACTGAGGAGGATGGCTGAGGAGGACCCAGGAGGAGGACGACTGAGGAGGACTGAGGAGGATGGCTGAGGAGGATGACTGAGAGGGAAGAGGAGGAGGAGGAGGAGGACTGAGGAGGACTGAGTAGGAGGAGGATGAGGAGGAGGACTGAATAGGAGGAGGAGGAGGGGGACTGGGGGAGGACTGAGGAGGAGGATGGAGGACTGAGGAGAAGGATGAGGAGGAGGACTGAGGAGGACTGAGGACTGAGGAGGAAGAGGAGGAGGATGAAGAGGAGCCAGGAGGAGCCAGGAGGAGGACTCAGAAGGAGGACTCAGGAGGAGGAGGAGGACTGGGGAGGAGGAGGACTGTTGAGGACTGATGAGGAGGCCTGAGGACGAGGAGGAGGAGTAGGAGGAGGACTGAGGAGGGGAGGAGGAAGAGGACTGAGGAAGATCAGGCAGACCCAGGGGGAGGAGGAGGAAGAGTAGGAGGAGGAAGCATCTAAATGTAATTTCCATTTTTGTCCGTTTTTGTCCTTTTTTGTCTGTTTTTGTCCGCTCTATTTTTTGTCCGTTTTGAAAATATAGGGTACCGAACGGACAAAAAAATGATCCCCCTATAACAGCAAAAATTGAACATTTTATTTAGCAATTTAGGTGTCCATTAATGTCCGCCTATGTCAACCTATGTCCGCCTATGTCCGTCTATGTCCGCCTATGTCCGCCTATGTCCGTCTATGTCCGCCTATGTCCGCCTATGTCCGCCTATGTCCTGTCCTTTTTGGATTCTATGAGACAAGCGGACATAGACGGACGTGACACCCCCCCCCCCCCTACATAACACTATTTTTATTTATTGTTAATGTTATGTACTCTGTTGTGTGTGTCTTACAATCTTAAATATAATCTCGGGTACTAAAATTGACGCGATGTTTAGGCTCAGTTTGGTCAAGTTAATAAGCTTATAAGAGTAGCTGAGTGGTGTGGTGTGGTGTGGTGTGGTGTGGTGTGGTGTGGTGTGGTGTGGTGTGGTGTGGTGTGGTGTACCTGAATAACGAGATATAAGATCATTACCTGAATAACGTGGAGACCTTTGTTTCTGAGTGCTCGGCAAAGCCTCACTAAATGCTGTACTGCGTCGTTGAAAAACACAAGGTGGTAATCCTGGGGTAGTATTAATTAAGGAACTAGAATTAGTTAGTATTAAGTTAGAATATTATAAATAGATTATGAAGAAATTAATAATCAATTTACATTAAATTCATTAAGAAACATGAATGATCCGTACTTTGATTGACAATTTTAATCTTTTAATTATCTCCAGTTCGTGGTAGCGAAAAGCATAATTTCATGGGCAGCACAGTGGTGCATCGCGCTACAACGTTTAATTAATTCTCAGATTTACAACTGAGCCCGATTTACTGCCCCCACGTACTGGTTTTAAGTGTTTTCAGCTTGGATTACTAGACGTTACTATATTTCCGGTAAATGGAGGATCTACTTTAAATGACAGGTTAAAGCAAGGTACCTTACGAGACATATTTATATGGTACGAAATTTGGGGATTTTTGGAAAAAATGGGAAAAAATCCCCATATTTTCGTACTGAATTTCTGAAATTTCGTACTGAATTACTGTATTTCTGAAAAAAATCCCCATATTTTCGTTCCCCCATAATTTCGATCCCCGCTAATTATGATCCACATAAATATGTCTTGTAAGGTAGACAGGTTGGGAACCGGTTCCTGACCGGGTAGAGCCGGTAAAGAACAGGTTCAACTCGATTAAACCATTTAGTGACCTAAGCTGCGACTATATATAATACTACAGCTGAACCAGTTGCGAGTTTAATCGACTTGCTATATATCGTGCCAAGAACCACAATATTACCCTAAAAGGACGGATCATTCCTATAAAAGCTGAACCCGTCAGAGCAGCTTCTTTATTAAACCTGAGATTCGCTGACATTGAATCTGTTCTGCATATCAGTGAGCGTCTGTATGAGCTGTTTGTTGTCCGGGACTATCCGGTATCTTTTAACTGTTTCCTCTGATGACAACTGGATGTGGAAATCTGTAAACATTATCCGAGCGTCATTGAGGTGCCGTTTGGTAAATACCATCTTCGTCGCTAACTCCTGGGGAAATAGTATGTCTGGGCTGCTATTACAAGCGTAAACGAAGCTGGTGAGCGATCATCGGTTTTGTGAAAATTATAATTTATTTATGTTTTAAATTTTCGTACCAATAAGTTGACATCCTTTCGGGGTTTAAAATGTCATTTTTAAACGACAACTTAGCTTTAAAATCAACGTTTGCATACCATTGAAAAATAGAACTAGCACAAACCTTGAAATATTTTTGCATGGAATCGACCTGAAAACCACAAAACTTTTCCCTCTCCTTTTCTGAAGTGAGTTTATCACAGAATACCCGTGATGTCTCGTGAGCGTAGAGTCTAACTACAGCGTCCTGGGAAGTTAGATCCGCGGCTCCACAGCTCATCATTCCCAGATAGAACTGAGAATAGGGACAATTTAATTAAGATTACAATTTTAAGACTAAGTTTTCAAGACTAAATCGAGGCTATTTAATCATTCGCTAGATCGCCACATATCATAGGTCTGCCTTTAGCGAATTATCCTAATGATCAGGGTCACAATCATAGTCATACAGTACGACGAGCCACCACCGAACCCTGGCCTTAGCAACCCGGCCTTAGCAACCCTGCCTTAGCAGCACCAACTAATGCACAAACTAATGCACAAAGTAATGAACAAACTAATGCACTTTGTCTGAAGAAGAACGCCGTCACTAGTTTACCCCTTATTCCTTAACAGGGACAAAAGGATTTCGCGATTATTTTGGCCAAAAATCGCGGTACCGCGAAATTTAACAGGCTATACATTAAACTATACATGAAATTTGTCGCGGAGAATGGGAAATTTCGCGATTTCGTACATGCCGCGAAATCCTTTTGTCCCTGTTCCTTAAACATCACTCACACGAGCAAGTTCAGGTTGTTGTTTTGTAAGGGTCCCTCTATTGGATCCTTTTGCAACCTCCTTATTAACCGGTATTGACACTTTTTGGTTTGATAACATTTACTGGTAACGGATTTACTGGTAACGGATTTACTGGTAACGGGTTTACTGGTTACGGATTTACTGGTTACGGGTTTACTGGTTGAGGATTTCTCTTTGGATTTCGGATTTGATTTTAGTACCGCTGATCTGATATTATCTACGTTGTAATTATATAGATATATTTTCATAAAACTTGTAAAACTATTTTGAGCGCAATACCGACCATTATTACATGTGAAGTACCTGTCGGAGAGAGTGCATGTTGAACATGTAATGTAGTTTGGAGGGTTTAGGTTTGAAGCTCATCATGACCTGTTGATAAAGGTACAGTCCGGCTGTACACAGCGGTCCAACTGTTCTCTGGACCTCCTCCGGGAAACTGAGGAGACAAATAGTTGTTAACAAGGTGAATACGGGGGGGGGGGGGGGGCCTGAATACCTGTCCATAGCTAGTGTTAACAAGGTGAATACGGGGGGGGGGGGGGGGGCGGGGGCTGAATACCTGTCCATAGCTAGTGTTAACAAGGTGAATACGGGGGGGGGGGGGGCGGGGGCTGAATTTACCTGTCCATAGCTAGTGTTAACAAGGTGAATACGGGGGGGGGGGGGGGGGGGCGGGGGCTGAATACCTGTCCATAGCTAGTGTTAACAAAGTGAATACGGGGGGGGGGGGGGGGGGGCGGGGGCTGAGTACCTGTCTATAGCTAGTGTTAACAAGGTGAATACGGGGGGGGGGGCTGAATACCTGTCCATAGCTAGTGTTAACAAGGTGAATACGGGGGGGGGGGGGGGCGGGGGCTGAATACCTGTCCATAGCTAGTGTTAACAAGGTGAATACGGGAGGGGGGGGGGGGCGGGGGCTGAATACCTGTCCATAGCTAGTGTTAACAAGGTGAATACAGGGGGGGGGGAGGGGGCGGGGGCTGAATACCTGTCCATAGCTAGTGTCAACAAGGTGAATACGGGGGGGGGGGCGGGGGCTGAATTTACCTGTCCATAGCTAGTGTTAACAAGGTGAATACGGGGGGGGGGGCGGGGGCTGAATACCTGTCCATAGCTAGTGTTAACAAGGTGAATACGGGGGGGGGGGGGGGGGCGGGGGCTGAATACCTGTCCATAGCTAGTGTTAACAAGGTGAATACGGGGGGGGGGGAGGGGGCGGGGGCTGAATACCTGTCCATAGCTAGTGTCAACAAGGTGAATACGGGGGGGGGGGGGGGGGGCGGGGGCTGAATACCTGTCCATAGCTAGTGTTAACAAGGTGAATACGGGGGGGGGGGGGCGGGGGCTGAATACCTGTCCATAGCTAGTGTTAACAAGGTGAATACGGGGGGGGGGGGGGGGGGCGGGGGCTGAATACCTGTCCATAGCTAGTGTTAACAAGGTGAATACGGGGGGGGGGGGGGGGGCGGGGGCTGAATACCTGTCCATAGCTAGTGTTAACAAGGTGAATACGGGGGGGGGGGGGGGGGGGGCTGAATACCTGTCCATAGCTAGTGTTAACAAGGTGAATACGGGGGGGGGGGGGGGCGGGGGCTGAATACCTGTCCATAGCTAGTGTTAACAAGGTGAATACGGGGGGGGGGGGGGGGGGGAGAGGGGGCGGGGCTGAATACCTGTCCATAGCTAGTGTTAACAAGGTGAATACGGGGGGGGGGGGGGGGGGCGGGGGCTGAATACCTGTCCATAGCTAGTGTTAACAAGGTGAATACGGGGGGGGGGGGGGGGGCTGAATACCTGTCCATAGCTAGTGTTAACAAGGTGAATACGGGGGGGGGGGGGCGGGGGCTGAATACCTGTCCATAGCTAGTGTTAACAAGGTGAATACGGGGGGGGGGGGGGGGGGGCGGGGGCTGAATACCTGTCCATAGCTAGTGTTAACAAGGTGAATACGGGGGGGGGGCGGGGGCTGAATACCTGTCCATAGCTAGTGTTAACAAGGTGAATACGGGGGGGGGGGCTGAATACCTGTCCATAGCTAGTGTTAACAAGGTGAATACGGGGGGGGGGGGGGGGGGGGCGGGGGCTGAATACCTGTCCATAGCTAGTGTTAACAAGGTGAATACGGGGGGGGGGGGGCGGGGGCTGAATACCTGTCCATAGCTAGTGTTAACAAGGTGAATACGGGGGGGGGGGCGGGGGCTGAATACCTGTCCATACCTAGTGTTAACAAGGTGAATACGGGGGGGGGGGGCGGGGGCTGAATACCTGTCCATAGCTAGTGTTAACAAGGTGAATACGGGGGGGGGGGGGGCGGGGGCTGAATACCTGTCCATAGCTAGTGTTAACAAGGTGAATACGGGGGGGGGGGGGGGGGCGGGGGCTGAATACCTGTCCATAGCTAGTGTTAACAAGGTGAATACGGGGGGGGGGGGCTGAATACCTGTCCATAGCTAGTGTTAACAAGGTGAATACGGGGGGGGGGGGCGGGGGCTGAATACCTGTCCATAGCTAGTGTTAACAAGGTGAATACGGGGGGGGGGGGGCGGGGGCTGAATACCTGTCCATAGCTAGTGTTAACAAGGTGAATACGGGGGGGGGGGGGGGCGGGGGCTGAATACCTGTCCATAGCTAGTGTTAACAAGGTGAATACGGGGGGGGGGGGGGGGGCGGGGGCTGAATACCTGTCCATAGCTAGTGTTAACAAGGTGAATACGGGGGGGGGGGGCTGAATACCTGTCCATAGCTAGTGTTAACAAGGTGAATACGGGGGGGGGGGGGGGGGCGGGGGCTGAATACCTGTCCATAGCTAGTGTTAACAAGGTGAATACGGGGGGGGGCGGGGGCTGAATACCTGTCCATAGCTAGTGTTAACAAGGTGAATACGGGGGGGGGGGGCGGGGGCTGAATACCTGTCCATAGCTAGTGTTAACAAGGTGAATACGGGGGGGGGGGGGGGGGGGCTGAATACCTGTCCATAGCTAGTGTTAACAAGGTGAATACGGGGGGGGGGGGGGGCGGGGGCTGAATACCTGTCCATAGCTAGTGTTAACAAGGTGAATACGGGGGGGGGGGGGGCGGGGGCTGAATACCTGTCCATAGCTAGTGTTAACAAGGTGAATACGGGGGGGGGGGGGGGGGGGGGGGCGGGGGCTGAATACCTGTCCATAGCTAGTGTTAACAAGGTGAATACGGGGGGGGGGGGGCGGGGGCTGAATACCTGTCCATAGCTAGTGTTAACAAGGTGAATACGGGGGGGGGGGGCGGGGGCTGAATACCTGTCCATAGCTAGTGTTAACAAGGTGAATACGGGGGGGGGGGGGGGGGGGGGGGGGCGGGGGCTGAATACCTGTCCATAGCTAGTGTTAACAAGGTGAATACGGGGGGGGGGGGGGGGGCTGAATACCTGTCCATAGCTAGTGTTAACAAGGTGAATACGGGGGGGGGGGCTGAATACCTGTCCATAGCTAGTGTTAACAAGGTGAATACGGGGGGGGGGGGGGGGCGGGGGCTGAATACCTGTCCATAGCTAGTGTTAACAAGGTGAATACGGGGGGGGGCGGGGGCTGAATACCTGTCCATAGCTAGTGTTAACAAGGTGAATACGGGGGGGGGGGGGGGGGCGGGGGCTGAATACCTGTCCATAGCTAGTGTTAACAAGGTGAATACGGGGGGGGGGGGCTGAATACCTGTCCATAGCTAGTGTTAACAAGGTGAATACGGGGGGGGGCGGGGGCTGAATACCTGTCCATAGCTAGTGTTAACAAGGTGAATACGGGGGGGGGGGGGCGGGGGCTGAATACCTGTCCATAGCTAGTGTTAACAAGGTGAATACGGGGGGGGGGGGGGCGGGGGCTGAATACCTGTCCATAGCTAGTGTTAACAAGGTGAATACGGGGGGGGGGGGGGGGCGGGGGCTGAATACCTGTCCATAGCTAGTGTTAACAAGGTGAATACGGGGGGGGGGGCGGGGGCTGAATACCTGTCCATAGCTAATGTTAACAAGGTGAATACGGGGGGGGGGGGGGCGGTGGCTGAATACCTGTCCATAGCTAGTGTTAACAAGGTGAATACGGGGGGGGGGGGGGCTGAATACCTGTCCATAGCTAGTGTTAACAAGGTGAATACGGGGGGGGGGGGGGGGGCGGGGGCTGAATACCTGTCCATAGCTAGTGTTAACAAGGTGAATACGGGGGGGGGGGGGGGGGGGGCTGAATACCTGTCCATAGCTAGTGTTAACAAGGTGAATACGGGGGGGGGGGGGGGGCGGGGGCTGAATACCTGTCCATAGCTAGTGTTAACAAGGTGAATACGGGGGGGGGGGGGGGGGGCTGAATACCTGTCCATAGCTAGTGTTAACAAGGTGAATACGGGGGGGGGGGGGGGCGGGGGCTGAATACCTGTCCATAGCTAGTGTTAACAAGGTGAATACGGGGGGGGGGGGGGGGCGGGGGCTGAATACCTGTCCATAGCTAGTGTTAACAAGGTGAATACGGGGGGGGGGGGGGGGGGGGGTAGGAGTTCTGGCTGTGACTGGTTGACTAACATGATTACTTATTAGCCTAGATATTAGATAGGTGTTTTCAATAATAACAGTATTGGACCTGTTGATGATGTAGTATCTGCCAAGTTTAGCCTGTAGAATGTGTTGGGTGGTGGAGAGAGTGGGTGTGGGCATGTTGATAACACTGAAGTATTGGAGAAGTCTGCTCGGGATGTTGACTGGTACTCGACCTGATACCGTACAAGTAGCTGCGATCGTGACGTCGTCTACTGACTGCGGGGATATAGTCAGACTTGGCAAACAGCCAAAACAAAGATATAATTTGACACTCGTTTTTTATGATCTGAGAAATTGATAGAGGTGGCAGTTAACAGCAGATATTTTGGAGGTATTTCTACAACTGAATCGGCTAGTTATTAAATAACCTTGTTGAATGGGAAAAATGTCGGATAGGCCAAGGAATTTCTTAAATGAGATTGTCGGTCTACTTGCTCAGAATTCAGATATTTTAAAGTAAAAAGGACCTTCTACTACTCTTATTCTGTATCACATATCGTCCACTACAATCACTCATTTCCCAACTGCAAGTGTTGAAGGCTACAGTATGCACTGCATACTAGACATTATCAGTGAAGTATTTGACCCGGACCTCACGTACGCGAGTTGTGGAGACATGGGAAATATGTTATCTAAATATTCCACCCGATTTGTTAAATTCCTGGTGAGGTCAGAGATTTTCTAACCAAGCGGCAAGCTTCTTTATAATTCTACACATGAGTTTATTCGCGTCTATGATATTATTCGCTTGAAAGTAAGGAGAATGCAGCCACGCCCCACTGCACAAGCCCTCATTGTGGAGCCATGGATAAAAGATAAGCTTGCTCATACTGCAGTTTTATATCTTCTTTATATTTACCATGATATAATGTATATAAGTATTATACTTATATAGCTATTTAGCGCGAACCCGTCGAAATGTAGAGCTCATTAACCAGACTTATAGCAGTGAACACTCCGTGTTTAAAGAGCTAGCATTCTGCAAGATTGGATGACTACCAGATCCTGGTGGAACCTAAGCGATCCATAATATCATGACAGGCCCTATTAGTTTGGGGAGATTTTCCATTCGTTGGGTCAGGTGCTCATAGTTAAGGTTGCAATTATCTTTTCATCATTCCAGCCGAGTTCAATACCGGAGAGCACGTGATGCCCAAATAAGGGCATTCAAATTTTAATTTTGAGAGGGAAAGTGCTCAGAGCAAGGACCATTCCATATAGACCATGTTAACTGCGAAACCTCATCTACCAGCTAACTAGCTTACCAGGGGACATAGCAAGGGGCCCATTATACAATTAAACCAACTCCGTATCAGTTGGGTCCGTGAGTTTAGGGAATGATCAAGTTAGTGTGGGATTAAAGTTTAACCAGGCCACTTCACATCATGGTTCAATAATACGAACGTTTTAATTCTAACTGAAAAGCTTCACCTTCCAACTGTAGCGGTTGATGTCGTAGAATCCGTCATTTCCGATGAACTGCCTTAGAAACTCTAGGGGAGGTTGTGCACCGTACTGTTCTGGTAGAGGCATGTTTAGGTCTTCCACGAACATCACCAGCTGCGGATAAAACAAGGTTTCGCTATCTAGATACTATCTGATACCCCAGTATAAAGGTATAATCAGCTAGATAGGGTGTAAGTCTTATCGTGCGTCATATTTGTTGATTACGAAATTTAATTTTTAAATCCAAATGTTTTGTACTTTCAGTTGGTTTTACCGTTTTTCCGACAGGAGGTCCCATAAGATCTCGTCCTAGTTTGTTGAGATTCCTCGCAAAAAACGCCTGGATGTTCTCTGCTTTAGTTTGGCCGTTCATCAGCATTTTGGCAGATATAAATTCTTTTTTGTTTCCGAATAAAAATTCGTCCGGAGCCTTTTCCTCCTCAGGTTTGATCCACTCCTGGATATTATCTGCCAGTGTTGAGTGGCAGCTGGGTATCCCTGCTATGTCGTATAGATGAACCTGAAAATATTGTTCCATTCTTAAATTCCTTGTTTCCCCTGATACCAATTTTAGAATGTTTAGGCTCGATATAATCAGTGAGTTTGATAATTAATTGATCATTAGATGATCATAGAATAGAAAGTAAACAACAATCCTTACGGTTAATTATAAATTGAGCCGTAATCTGATCATTGTTTAAATAATCGGTAGGAGTCTGGGACATGATATTGCTATGAAATCAATTAATTTTGAAATTGAATGGTTGAAATATTTACTTTGGGCGTAAGAGTCAGGATTGTAACAGTTACGTATTAATTAAAGGTGGAATGTTTCCTCTGATAAGGGGAGTTCGATTAAGATCAATTCGGTTCTTGTTTCGATAATTTCAAGTTAGTTAATGTTGAGGCTCATAGACTGCGAGTAGTATTAAACTTTCTAGGCTCATAGACTGCGAGTAGTATTAAACTTTCTATATACGGCTCGTACTTTATACCCATCTATGAATTTATGTTGTTGAATTAAATTAAAACACCACGCTTCATCTTACAAACAAATTGAGTTTTCATTGTCATATTAGTCTATTAGTCAATTAATAGATTATGCCGCATAACGATGGAAATCTCAACAGTTTTTAAAGCAATAAGCGATCCCATTCACAACTCTAAACATTTTAATTTAAATTTCCCTTCGGACTGCAGCTCCACGATTATACTCCTGTATTCAATATCTTTGTGGGTATATGATCAGACTCAAACAAGATATAATTTCTACTTAATTAGAGGACCATGCTTAAAGATGGATCCAAACTTGTAGGATACAAACTTACAAACTTGTATAGTACTTTAGTCGGATATTTCTTCGGGTACCAAAGATACTCCGCATGAGCGTTTGTTGATGCATTATTATGTCACTAATTAGCTCGAAATATACATAATACATCAATTTAATACAATAAATAAATATAATAGTCAACACAATATTAAGTATTTCCTTAATTAGCTTCATTACAATCTAAATAGAAGTCTTCATTTCACTATGATCGTACGATCGTTTCTTTTTCTTTTTCATGACGATCATAGAGTGAAGACAGTGAAGTCTTCATAGCAGTTGATAACAATGGATATGTTATCCTGACATCAAAATAAGCGTCTTGGCCAGCTCTCCAAAAGCCTTTCGCCCTGATGTCCAATTCCGCTGCATCGGCCGTATTTCTGAATTCATCGGATTGAGCCTCTATTATTGGCTGGAGAGGTGGCTCCGTTTGAACATCATGTTGCACGATTTCGAGAAGTCCTGCAATGAAGTCTCTGATATTATCGTGTCTCATGTGAACAAATCCCCCTCTCTTGCAATTTAGTGCGTGTGTTATCATGAATTTTTGGGAGCAAGGACAGAATGTTGGAAATCCTTTCAATTTCCGATGGTAACGCATATTTATTGCGTCCTGGAATTCAGATCGGTTGAGATCGAATCTCTGCCTTTTAATAGGTAGGACAGCCAACCAATTTGACGCTCCTTTTTCCCTTGCCAGTTCTATAGACCTTTTAACTCTTCTAGTTCTTATATATAATACACCTTTGGGTACCCGCTACCTTTGTTAATTGTATTAAATGATTGGAAGTAGAGGGAATTGAGCTGCTTTGGTCCTTTATTTTTTATTCGACTAATGCCTTTGTGATTCTATTAGATGCCGCAAAATCTCTTGGAGCCATCTCATTAGCTCTAAATTGATTTACTCCCGATTAATGTTCCTTCCTGGTTGACGTCTTACTCATTAGATGGCTCCTAGAAAGAGAATACAGTTTCCTTCAACCATTTTTGTAGTCCAACTTACGAGAGTTTTTGTGAAACTAACAATTTCGATTGTACTTTGAAATTACTTGTAACAATTAAAATTTGTCATTAAAACCACCCGGGCACCGTCCCGGTTTACAACCAATCAATGTGTCGCCCCGAGTGCAGCACATTAATCTCATTTACAATAATAGATGCGAATTGGTGGTGAAACAAAATAATTTAGATGCGTAACAATGGATCTGGGAATTGACTTGTCAATGCTGGATGCTGATTGGTTAATCACGTCCCCGCCAGTATCCAGATCTATTAGTTTTGCTAAACTCGACCTAGTGAAGCATTCATAATTCATATGTGATCTGTAAATTGTAATTTACATAAACGATGCTTTAATGTTTATGATGTTTGGTTATGAGGCATCTGATCACGTATATATTTATATTATATAAGGTTCATTTGTGGCGATACATACCCCACATCATCCCATCATAATATAAGACAACTGTTTTTAAAATAAGCATCGAGTTTTCATTCAAGTTTAACAAAATGTTTATTCCTAGCTTGCTAGATTTTGTTGATACAGGGTGTTCCAAGACTCTATTTTATGAAGGAGCAAATTAGATGCAATCGTTTTAGGAATGCTTCATAGGTCTTACATTTTCGTTATTTCTTGCAAAATCGTCTCAAAACTCATTTTTTTCTTCACAATTTTGCATTCTTTTAAAATTTCAAAATCTGCTATATCAGACGATCACCCCTAGGGCGCGAGGTACAGAGGCCACAGCTGTAGTCCTTTATAACGGGGTAGACTAGTTTAAAGCCAGATCAGCAAATCAATAAAATAAAATCATGAGCAAATTGGTTTTTATCAAAATATTATCATCTAGTTTCGCCAATTGTCAATATCTGATTCAGTTTTGAAAAATGGATCATGAAATTTAGTTATGAAGGGAGGAAAATTCCAAGGTTCCACCCCTCAGTGATTCAAAGACTCAAAATATTTTTTGAGGAGAAAGCTTTGTGCCATCCATTTTGCATTCCTTGATTGTGCAGTAAAGTTTTTACAGGCCCTAAAATTACAGGCCCTTAAAAGCTTAATTACAGGCCCTAAAATGACGACCTGTTTCTCACCAGATATTATCAACTAATCGTTTTCTTCAGGGGCTGCTTGCTGCTTAATTAATGACATTATTGCTGTAATGACATTTGTCAAGCAATAATCGGCATCATGCTCAACGTCTGATTTATGAAATCTTCCCATACATTATTATTAATTGGATTAGCTTATTAGGCGGGCAAGCAGCAAACCCTTTTTACATCGTCTCAACTCGTTCTAGACTTGATCCTCATGTGTCTTTACACTTTATCACGCAGAAGGTCAGTCCTCTATTATCTTATTTTCCCAAAATGCTCTTGGTTTGTTCTCAAGATATTGATCGGCTCTGTAATTTATGAACTATTAGAAAACTCGAACTGCTCACGCTCACATCATGCAGTTACATTGATGAGTTGTTTGACAGTTGACTGACAATTTTGACTACAGCAGTGCCACAGAACAATAATCTTCTATCGCAAAAATTCTATAGATTGAATAATTAATATTCTTTGCGTCAAAATATATATCTGTTATTTTTATTCTGTCTCGGTAATAGAGCAATTAATATATTACTAAACGGCTTCCATCAGTTATTCAGATAAAGGACACATTTATCAGTTTCAAAATGAAAACCAAAAGCAATTTTCATAGCCTATAAACAAGTGAGAGAGTTATGGCAGATGAAGAGGTGGACACGAAGCTTAATGTGGTCGGTATGGTCGGACTCATTGTCTTCTATCTCATCATTTTCTTCGCTGGAATTCTTTCACACAAGTAAGCATTATATATTAATTACTCGACTGAATTTTTTTCGATATCGTTGCTTTACAGTTTGCACGACTAAGTAGGCAAAGTAATCTTATAATTATTAAAGATTATTAAGCCCACCACCAAATTCAGAGTGCTAAAGAGGAAAGGAAGGAAGGAAATCCAAAAGACCCAGGTGGCTAACCATACTGAAGACATGATGTTGGCTGGTCGGGACATCAACTACTTCGTGGGCGTCTTCACCATGACAGCAACGTGGGTTGGGGGAGGTTATATAAACGGTAAGCCCCAGTAAACATCAGTCTGCATCAGTACACCATGGAAAAGGCATCAACTTCATCGTTAGTTGGCGTCTCTTCTGTATCGACCTGCGTGAAGGGCCCTGGATGGTAAGCTTAAATTGTCGTTGATTTTTTGATCTAAATGTTCGTGATGTTATGATATCACGTGATATTATGATCTGCCTGTCATTTTAATTCGAGCATTTTGATGTTTTTCGCTCTGATCAGACTCGAATAGGGACAATTTTTATTAGAGAAAAAGTTTCGTTTAATCGTGAAATATCTTATCCGAAGTTCATTAAAAATATTCGAGTCCGATCAGGCAACAACAAGAAATCCGAACTAAATGCTAGAGACAAAAGGAGGCTGCACTATGAGACATGAGACTTCTGCTTCAAACGCTTTCAAAGCAGAGTTTACCAACTTTTCTCAACGAGACTAATCATGCTAACTATGAACTGCTTTTCAGAAAGGTTCAGCTAATGACATCATTTTCCTTCAGCAAGGCACATTGGCAGACAAAGATTTCTTGCAAACCCGCATTTTCAGTTCATGACAGAAGAAAGTCAAAAAATCAACGACAAAAATATTTAAGCTTTACTTAGTAAACCGAAAATCCCCGAAAAATATACTTTTATGTTATGTCCAGTTGTGATATTTAATCTTGATAAACATGTATTTATTATTCTTTTTAACAATCATGTAACAACAAACCTCTTCTCATCAGACTTTCTCAATCCAGATTTCGAAGTGTTCCCACTTTTATTAAGGTTACTGAATACTCAACCGATTTATACCCAGATAATAACTTTTAACTTTTTAGGGACAACCGAGTCCGTTATCAAGAATGGGTTAGTCTGGACACAAGCCCCTATCGGTTACTCAATTTCACTGTTTTTGGGTGGCCTTTTTTTTGCCGAGAAGATGAGATCAAAGAGTTATGTGACGATGCTTGATCCACTGCAAATAAAATACGGCAAACCCCTCGGAGCTTTCTTTTACATCCCTGCTTTTGCTGGAGAGGTTGGTAACTTTCACTTTCACTTTCATAAAATATTAACAAGAGGATCTGGAAATAT